TAAGTTTTGGCTATCGTGCAGTCATATTTACAGAAATCAAGATGAAAATTGGCAACAAATATAAATTTATGTGCCCAACACAATGACATACAAAAAAAGTTGGATTTGCCATTTTTAAGTCGGTGATCAGAGTTCAGAAAAAAGCATAGTTTTGGGGTATTTGGTTAATTACTTGGCTGTATTTTGACCAATTTACATGGGATTTTAAAGGTCCAAAACACTGACAAACAGCAATTGCCCATTTCTAATAATTATAGAGGGGTCAAGATACCACAAAAAACATAATTTTAGGGTTTTTTGACAACTACTCTCCCATATTTTAGTCAATTTACACAGGATTTGGTACAAAAATTATTTTTTATAGATCCCGTACATATACACACAAAAACGTGTGATATGCCCATTTTTGTTCATTTTAGGGAGAGGGGGTCAAAACATTAACTAAATCCATACTTTTAGAGGATTTTGTCAATTATTTACTCTTGTTTTCACCAATTTTTGTGGAGTTTGGTACGAAGATACTGTTCTGTAAGCAGTGATGTAAACAGTTTGCAATTTTTTTTCATGATTTTTCTGGTGTCAATTCAAATTTGGCCATGTTGAGATTGCACAACAGAGACATGTTGCATTCACCTGCGAATGTTGGCCTCTTTAAATAATACTAACTTCTAATCAGAGTATGATACATTATTGGAAAAAAAATTATATATATATAAAGCACAAAAATCTGTGTCTGTCTGTTTGTCCATTACCTAACTACTCCTAAGTGGGATGATAGTTTGGAACAAAGGGCATATTAATGAGGAGGTTTATAACCCCTCCATCCCCCATTATTTCTGTTATTGAACATTTATTGTCACTGATGTAAGTTAATTTTAACTACATTCCTAGATGGTACAATGTCCTTGCACAAAAAAAACTTTATTAAGTTTTATATAACACAACATACACACAGTGCGGGGGAGGACAAACAAACATTTTATATATCTCATAGTGTGCTAGAATTCTCTAAGAAGGAATGCAATGAAAAAATATGACCGCCACTATTGCAGTAATACATAAACTCAGATGAAATTTCTTCTCCAACAGCCATCATAACACTGATATGAAGAGCCATTTCTTGAGTTATACCCACATCCTACTTTGACCCATGACTTTACAACTTCATCCCATAAGACACTTCTGTGGCCAATGACCATCAAATAAATAACGTGTTACAGTGTGGACATTATAAGGTGGGTATTGAAAACGGATAACACGAAGCACCCCTAATGCCACTACCTCTTTGTACAAAGTCACTCTGACCATCACACAGTGTATAGCATGTTTTAAGTATGTAGATAGTGAGTTCTTAAAGAGTATACAAAAACCTTTGGTGAGGTAATAATGAATACTGAAATAATATGTTATGTTATAAATAAATTGTGTAAAAGTTAGGATTTTGGAATGATTTATCACAGTATCCACCCCCCCTATTGTTTTAAGTTCATAACCTCGACAAAGGGCAGGTACCTCAGCGTGTATGGTAATATTTCAGAGTAGTTTAATTATGTCCCTGTAGAAAGACACTGTTTTTTTATTGTTTCTTCTATTTTTTTCTTTCCTCTTCTTCCAAACACTTTTTCAATCAACTGCCATTCATTCATTTCTCGGCAAATTGACGGCCAATATGGTAGGGTTATACTTTGGTCCAATACGCTCAGACGTCTTTTTTTCATTAAGGACTTTTTAAGAGCAAAATACATTCTTGGAGAAAAACTAAATAGCAAATGCAAAAAAGGAGCACAGCTATTTAAATATTCTTTGATAACATTCTTGTTAACAAAAATTAGAATGAATTGTTTCATCAGTTGGGTACCCTTACCATTAATGATATGTAATCCCATTATACACACAGACTCATATATAGGGGAAAATTGGTATCTCAAAGCACAGGCTTAATAATATTCTAACCCTGTGTGCATGTGTGGGAAGTAAAAGTGTGCATGTATGCAGGGATGCTGAAAGAAACATTGTATATGCATTTTGGAGGTTCTAGGGATAATGCAATATGCAAACAGTGTGAAATGTATCTTTATTCTTCACACAAACATCACCCTGTTATTCCAATTTGTTAGAGTACGAGTCAGACCGACATCGTCAATTCACAGAAATATTTTGAGTTCAAACAACTTTTGCGACACTTCTGATTTTTTTTGTACAATAGACTTGTACATTTTACTAAAAGCTCACTATATTTCATGTATATAGACACACACAGTAAATTCTGAATTATTGCCAACATTCCCTCTGCAATATGAAGTCAGTCCAGTGGACTAACCCTGTGCACATGCAGTTAATGAAACAATGCTTTGGAATATGAAGCTCTTCTCAGCATACAGATGAACTGTGTTCTAAATGAAACTCTGTAGAATATTTTTACCTCAACCTATGTATGTGTCACAATAAATATTCAACACGTAAATGATGAGAAGACTTTCTAAATTTAAAGACATGTAAACATTCTAATTACAATAACTTTTCAAACACAATTTCTTACTCATACTTTACAGAAACTTTTATAAAATGTATTACAGATGTTAACACTGGAATAGTGTCTTAAAGTTATACAAATTTAGAGAATCATGTCTCAGACTGGTTTCCTTACTTTTTCCCTTTTTGGTGCTATAGCATCAAGTTCATCAATAAAGATGATGGAAGGAGAGTTTTTCTCAGCCTCTTCAAAAGCTTTCCTGAGATTACTCTCTGATTCTCCTGCAAGTTTGCTCATGATTTCTGGGCCTGCAAAAATGTAATCACAAAAAGGTTCATTTAGAGTTTTAACAAAAAAATAATGGAAGCTCATGTTCCCAATTATTGACTTCTCATTTTCTTGATGGTTTCAAGAATACATAGATTTATCTCACCTTGTGCTCTGAGAAAGATCTCAAAGTATTGGTTGGTGGGCTGTCATTACAGTTCAGTATTTGTTTTTGCTGCTTGTGTGTGTGGTTTACATTTCTGAAGCTTAGGTTCTCACTAGTTGATTCTTCCTGAATCTTGGATGTCATTCCTCTTTCTTTTTGAAATTCACACAGATGAAGTCATAAAAATAACTGATTTGATCTTTGAAGGCAAAAAATTTAGTCTACACTGGGATCAAAAACATAGTTAAGCCTAATTTGTGAATAGGCTCTATTCAACCATTTTTTTGTATTTTTTTTTTATCATCAATGACATGCTTCCTAAACATAGTAACAATAGGGCCATTTTTCTTTATGGGTACACTGCAAGTCACTGCTGGAGGGTGACATGACCTATCTATCTGGATGTTTATCACTTTGTCAATTAGATTGGGGTGCAATGAAAATTTCTTGTCAGAGCATATCAAAGCATCCTCACTGTTAAAAATAGATCCAAAGTTTTAATGACTATTAGATTCAGACAGTCAAACAAACTACAAAGGAGACTAGAAGAATGAACCAATGAGCATTACATACTGAACTTTAACAACAGCCCATCAAAAAACCAACACTTCAAAATGAAAGAGATATATGTATACTTGAAGCCATCATGATAAAACTAAAAACATCGGCAATCCAAAATCTGGAACGAGTGCTTCTATGTTTCATAGATAAACATGTACATATAAATAGTAATGCAGTTACCCACCTGATGTTACAATGAATTCTAATCACTGTATGGTTTTATGACTTGTTTTTGAATTTCATGCAAAGCTACACGAAGGCTATCTGCACTAGCCTTCCCTAATTTAGCAGTGATAGACTAGAGGAAAAGCAGCTAGTCAACACCACCCACCATCAACTTTTGGGCTACTCTTTTATCAACAAATAGTGGGATTGACTGTCACATTATAATGCAACCATGACTGAAAAGGCGAGCATGTTCAGTGTGACAGGGATTCAAACCCATCACCTGTAGATTGCGAGACAAACTCACTAACCATCAGACCATGCCAGGCCTAGTTTTATGATATTGCACACTCCACGTTAGACTGATATATTAAATTATTTACATTGCTTACTAAATTAGATTTCAGTTCTTTTCTATGATGTATGTGATCAGAAGTTATTAATAACAGAAACAAAATACTGAAAAATTACGTTCACACGTATACAACAGGAAATACTCCACAAAACATATCACAAACTGTTAAAAGGTGTTAGGGCAACAGGATACACCATATCTTACTGTCATCAGTTTTCCCAATATCACAAGGTCACAGTTTACTGTCATCAAATAAACTACATTACCAGGTTCCTATTCACACTAAAAAAAAGTTTTTTTGTCATTAGTAAATAAATGTCTTCAATCCACCCTTTTTTAAGTATAGGTCATCAAAAACACAGAGAAGAAGATTTATTTTTACATAATCAAATATTTATAAAAAACAGCCCCCCAAAACATCCATGAAGGCCATGAGCAATTGTTATAATGCAAATTACTGAGTTCATTTCCCAAAAACTTAAATATACCACGAGACAAAACTCACACACACAAATCAGTAGTTTTAGTGAATGAAAAAATTAACTCTTTCAGCACGGGCTTAGTCTCTGGGACTGAACTCGTAACCATTTTGTGCTTGTTATAGTTTTCATGTTATAACTTTTAAATTAATAAATGAATGTCGATGAAATCTGGCAGATTATCAGTAAACATTACAATGCTTTCATATGCAAAATATCAAATTTTTTTTATTAAGTTTTAAGGTTTGTAAAGCAATGTTTTTCTCAAGCCCTTTTTTCTTTTCGCATGTTGCTATCTATCATGCAAAGTA